CATAAGTACATGATCAAAAAGGTACTGCGACATTCTTTGGCTCAAAAGAAGACGATTTGACCTAACTTCTATTAAGAAAAAATTTCAGGTTCCTCTGCTATTGACTGTCAAAGTTCTTGAAAAAAAATATGTTTTTTGTAATATCTGGAGAATGTTACAATGAATTTTAATGAAACTTGCTGTGAACTTGTTCCTAAGTAAAACTCATGTTTTAATGTAGCAACCGCGTCCATCTGCCCTGGGCTAGTGGTACATTTTTGAGTGTCTTGGTACAAGAATTACCAGAACTTTTTATTTGGTCGCTGGAATTAATTCATTTTATTTTTATTGATGCATCAGTCCTTTTTCGAGATTTTTGTGCTCTTGGTAAAATCTTGTAGCCTTCATAGTTTTTACGCAATTTTTTTTTAATTTTAGACAATCATCACTACTACGCAAGTACAACAACTACTCACTACAATTACTACGACTGTAGTAAGCGATGATGTCATTTTATAATAAATGAATTGTCGATCAATTCGTTTCGAATGGCGTTTTCTAATGAATAGATGACCTACTGACAAAGTCTTATGGTTTTGCGAAGACAACTTGGGTGGGAGTGTACGCGTCTACGCAGCGCGATACCCAAATCGACGGGTTCCAAATTACCGATTTACATGGATTGAAAAGAGTTTGCGGGAGCCTGGGCAATTTGGTGTTGACTGTGGCGGTCGTCCTCAAGTACGAAATGCAGCAGTTGAGGGAGACGTTTTAAATAGAGTCGCTGAAGATCCAAATATCAGTACTCGCCGTCTGACAGTGGAATTTGGCGTACCAAAAAGTACAATTAATCGCAACATGAGACAGCAGCTTCTTATCCTTATCATGCGACGTCTATTCAGGAGCTTTTACTATACCATTTTGAGAGAAGACTTCAATTTCGTCCCTTTATTTAAGGAGCGTCGGCACGTGATCCAAATTTCACCAGCCGAATTTTATTCACCATTACGAAGAATAAATGCCTCATGCGAGGCGTATTAATCATTTTCAGGTAGAATTTCCAATAAATGTTTGGGCCGGGATCATCGGTGACATCCTTCTGGGTCCTTATGTCATGCCGCACCTCTTGAATAGCGAAAATTATTTCAATTTAATTTTCAATATTTTTCCGGTTCTAATGAAAGATGTCCCTCTCCATCTTCGTGCTCAGAAGTGGTTCATTCACGATGGTGCTCCTCCGCAGTTTAGTTCAAATGTAACTGCACATTTAAATAATACTTTTCCACACAAGTGGATCGGAAGAAGAGGGAGAGATGTTCCTGTCGAATGGCCCCCGAGGTCCCCCAACTAAACGTTGTTAGATTTTTTTCTATGGGGAGCCTTGAAGAATAAAGTTTACGCTACTCCGGTGTAATCCCAGGAAGAATTATTGCGTAGGATTCAAAACGGGGCGGACGTAATACGGAAAGATCCAAAAATTTTGAGGATGGCTCAATTCAATTTCAATCGAAGGATCCAGCTATGCATCCAGAAAAATGGGAGGCATATCGAACATGTCTTGTAATTCCACCATCCTCTATCATATCTATGTAACTATCATCCAGTTTCAATAAAAAGAATTATGTCTTTCCTAAGTACGTCTTTACATTTTTTGAGTGTTGACAAGAAATAAATCTAATGAAGTAAAATGATATTCAATCCGTCGCATTGCGACAGACTTTAAAGTTGCGACCATTTTACTTTCAATATTGATATCCTAGGTAAAAGAATTGGCAATTATTATTAGAGAAAGCTTCTTCTTGTAAAAGGGCAGATTTACTGCGATACATTTAAAATTGTTAAATCGCAACGAAACAGAAAACAATTTTTTGCGTAAAAACTATGAATGCTACAAGATTTCACCAAGATACTTACTACGGTAGTAGTGATTGTAGTGAGTATTTGTTGTACTTGAGTAGTAGTGATAATGATTGTCTAAAATTGAAAAAAAAATTTTGAGTAAAAACACGAGCAAACAAGATTTTACCAAGAGCACGAAAATCTCGAAAAAGGACTGATGCATCAATAAAAATAAAAAGAATTAATTCTAGCCACCAAATAAAAAGTTCTGGTAATTCTTGTACCAAGACACTCAAGAATGTACCACTAGCCCAAAACAGATGAACGCGGTTGCTTCATCATAACATGAGTTTTACTTAGGAACAAGTCCACAGCAAGATTCATTAAAATTCATCGTAACATTCTCGATATTACAAAAAACATATTTTTTTTCAAGAACTTTGACAGTCAATAGCAGAGGAGCCAGACATTTTTTCTTAATGGAAGTTAGGTCAAATCCTCTTCTTTTGAGCCAAAGAATATCGCAGTGCCTTTTAGATCATGTGCTTATGGGACAGCCTGTACCTATATACATATTTATCTGTACAAAGTGATTAAATATATTATCAGTTTAACTCCAGTTAAACTGAACAAAAATTGCTAGATACTCGACTGCCAGACCTAAAAATTGTACTATACTGAGTATTTTAGCAATCAGGTAGTTTTTCTATCAAAGAAATTTCTACTGAAATAATTTCAATAAAGAACTAAATTTCTTTAGGATCTTTGAAATTTCCTTATAGTCTGTGATTTAAACTTTCTTGCTGGTACTGAATTCAAAAATATAAATTTATGAAATGAATTCAAAGATTTTTCTGGTACGCTAAAATAAGAGAAAAAAATAAAAAGGTTTCGATTAGCACGTGCATTTCTGAAAATTTAAGGGTTACAAAACTGTATGCATAATTTAACTGGTTAATAAACGTAAAAAAATAAAAAGTGATATTTAATAATCTGACTACAACTTACGGGATATCTAAATATTCAATAAAGTATGTCTTTAAGATGGAACGTGATTTTAACTAAGATAGGCTACTCGGTAAAATTTAAATCACTGTCGAGCTAATGATTCTACCAAATGCTGAATTCAAAGAGGACTTTAAAATCGTTTCGTGCTGGATTTATTACATTTTACTGAATAAAAAATCAATTTCTATGATTGACTGGCTGTTCGGAATGAACTTAATAAAGTGTGATTGGGAGGAACCCCCAAAATTCCGATAAGGTGTTCAGGGGGCAGTGGAAGAGGAAATTCTAAATACCTATGGTAGAGCGTAACCCGGGTGTAAGTACAAGACGCATTGCAACACGTCTCCAAATGAAGCAAACTAACGCATGAGAAACCATTCCCAAAAAGGGTTTAAAACCGTTCCATATTCAGCGCGTCCAGCATCTGCAGGAAGGTGATAATGATTTGCGGTTGCATTTTTGCAATTGGATAAACGGAAACCGTATACTTTACAAATACATCATGTTTGCTGATGAGGCTCAGTTCACTCGTGATGGAGTAAGTAATTGTCACAATGGACATTGTTGGTCAGATGAAAATCCGCATGCCACGGTGGAAAGTAATGTTCAGCATTGATTCAGCGTTAAGGTGTGGTGCGGTATGTTTAATAATTAATCACTTGGCCCAGTTGTGCTAGATAATCGTCAACTGGATCTAGATATTTAGAATTTTTAGAAAATAATTCGACAGATCTACTGGACAATGTTCCGTTGGATATTAGGCAAAACATGTCCTTTCAGCATGATAGTGCCCCTACCCATTTTAGTCGTGTTGTGATCAATCATCTCAACAATCACTTTCCACGTCGCTGGATTGTCCGTGGTGGTTACCGAAATTGGCCATCAACGTCACCAGATTTAAATCCCCTTGATTACTGCCTTTGGGGATGGTTTAAATCATTAGTTTATTTAACCCTGTATACAAACTGGTAAATACTACTAGTTTCGATTTGTTGTCGAATATTAAAGTTCCAAGACTTTGGGGTTATTTATCTATTTTAGATAAATGTCCAAGGTATGGATCTAATATTGTGTTCAACGTTTATTTGAAGAAGAAGAACGGGTCTGACCTTCAATGTTTGAGAATTAGGCTATAACGTTTGCATTGCGAAACTTCTTTTAAAAATTTCTCAACAATATATAAACGCGTTACAGCTAATATATTACAATATAATTCGATACAGTTTGTACACTGCTGTGTATCTCCACCAAGTGTATATACAGGTAGTGATAAAAAATTGTTGTAGTACAGTTATATGAATACATCATACGTTAAGTAGTGGATGTTACAATATATCTTTTTACATCTTGTACAGGATGTTCCACGGTGACGAGACATTAGACATATTATTTCAGAAACTACTTCGGTTTTAATTTTGAAAATTTGGGCAATAGTGTTTTCGGCCATGCCCTTCTCAACTAAAATAATGGCGTCCACCTAACGCTTCTGGTTATACCGGAAATTGACGTCATATTCGTTATTTTAAATGGAACACCCTGTAGATTATTGCAATTTTGGATTCTACGTCAATTCTTCTTAGGTGAACTTTGATAAAGATTTCCTAATTCTTAATGTTAATCGTTTCTGATATATTTAATTTTTTCAACAAAAATTAAAAAAGCACTGCCTAATTCAAAAAGATGTGTATTTTACAATAGTAAACTTAGAGCGATAAAATTTATAAGGGACATAACTAAAACTCTAAGCTTCCCTGCTATAATTTCAAAATGACTTACTTTACAGGGTGGTAGAAATTTAATTCCGAATTTAGTCAACTTTAAACTATCTTAACGTATCTTTTTTAAATGGAACACCCTGTATATTTTTGCACAACCTAATGAACAATTTTGTTCTATTTCGAATGGTATAATGGTTCCCTATATCTTCTGGTCTTTAAGGTATTTACTGTTTTTCGTGCAGTCAACGGATATAGCATAATTTCTTGCGAGGATGGCTGGAAATTTTTAGAGGCATAATATTGGTCCTCTGATTATGCAACTTTGCCCCCCATTTAAGTTACTTCGTATCTCTTACTGTTTTCGAGATCCCTGTGGTGAGAAGCGAATTTGTAACAGCCTGTATCTAACATATTTTGTATGACAAAACTAAGAGAATATTGTAGAAATAAAACAAATTTTTATGTATTTTATATATTTATAATATTAGAAACCTAACGACAAAGTTCTAAAATATCATTTTAAGCTTTTTCACATGTATCTACCAAACAACGAGTGGCAATTACCTTTTTATAATATTCAGCAGAACTTTTTGGCGTTCTTGTACGATTTTGACTTTCGAAGTCAACATGGTAAAGACCAAATCTTTCTCTGAAAAACAAAACGCGTTGAGAGAATCTTTAATATAAAACAAACAATTATGTATTAATTTTTATTTTAATATTCCATCGAAATAAAGATACCATTGAAACTTGTTCAACTAATAGGTACCCTTTCAAATTATAAATCTAACGAATATGTATACTTACGAGTATCCACGCATCCATTCGAAGTTATCCATCAAACTCCAAGCTGTATAACCGATTACTTTAACACCTTCTTCCATGGCACTTCTAACATTGCTCAGATAATCCTGAAATGAAACTGACTGAATTAAACAATAAATATATGTGTAATGTATTTAACTAATAAATAAATATTTACAAAATTCATTAAACAGTTTCTGAATTAAGCCCTACTAAACTTTGAATTGTTATGGTCTGCTGATATTTCAAAAAGTTGGTCTGAACAATGAAGCATTTGCGAACCTACGTTTATAGGAATTTTTTAATATTTTTGGATGTAGGTTCTGATCTAGAATTCTCTGAACATTTTGCAACACCAAATTCTTACAGTATTACAAGTTGTTTTCAGTAGAACACCGTGTAAATTTATATTAGTAAAATGTGCAAAATAGTAAAATTATGTCCCTATGACGAACGTGTCCTTATTTGGTAGGACATTATTTTTCTTTTCAGTAATAAAATCAATATTAAATTTTGGAAAATATTATACAAGGTGGTCCGAATTTTATGCAGGAAACTTCGAGAGCAGATAGATCTTGAAATAATATGTGTTTACTTTATACAGCCCCGTTTTAGAGATACAGGGCGTTGAAGTTGTTAAAAAAATTGATTTTTTGTTTATATCTCCGGAATCTATTAACCGATCTCAATAAGATTTGGTATAGATAATGTATGATGGTAGTCCTTACATTCCCTAAAATATGAGCTTTAAAGGTTCAAGCAGTGGTGTACGACTGGACAAGGGTAGTAGTGATATAATGAGAGCGCAAATAAATGTGAAATGTGAAGGTCATGACCTTGACCTCAATATGCCAGATGTCGATGACATCATTCTTAAAAATAGAACATTACATCATTTCTAAAAATAGCCACATATAGTTGCCAGATGTCGATGACATCATTTCTAAAAATAGAACATTACATCATTCCTAAAAATAAAACACACATCTGTCAATGACATCATTCTTAAAAATAGAATATTACGTCATATCTAAAAAAATAAGACACGCATGTATTGATTTCCCATGCCTTATTTAATTATATATTGAAGAAACAGTTTAGATCAGAACTGGCAACCCAAATTGAAAAACGGATTGCATTGACAATCTAAAGATTCCCAAGAGTTGAATATAAATAAAAATTATAGAATTTCAATTTATTTTTCGAAATCTAGCTTGCAAAGAATTGCTGATTTTTGTAAATGATAAATTGAGTGCGCAGGTGCTTAAATAATTTTAATGTTTAATAAAATACATTTTGAAATATCAGATGTTTAAAAAAGAATAATTCATATACCGTAGGTTAATCAGTTTTTCGGAATATGGGCTGTATATTCGAAGAACAATTCACACAATAAGTGATGCAAATTTACAGCTGTGACAATCAATTAGTTAAAAAGAAATCCTGCAATATAATAGTTTATCACCATTAAGACATAAAAGGGTTATTTACTAAATTATTAGCTCTAACGTTTCTCGGGTTTTACTAATATGTTTTCATTGGTTGTTAAGCTAATATGACAGCATAGATGAGAGCAATGATCTGTTCAATGTTCAAATAGTAAATTTAGGTCATATTTTTGTCATATACAAGTTACAAATGCGTAAGTTTATGTCATCTATAAACTAGCTTAATGAAAAAGAAATTCTGGAACTAGAGCATTGTGCAGTTTCTCACAATAAGTCATTGACTGGTTTATTGCTTCAACTTCTGGGAGGGCTCAAAATATTAACAATTCAAACTATGGTTAAATTAAAGAAAAAAATCAGTTGTTTAGTACGTATTGTTCAATTTAAAGTTCCTTAAAGCAAATGGTAAGGTCAGTGAGCGCATACAATCTAACTGTGTTTACTTTGTAATTAAAAGAAATCCCTGGTCAGTAAATGAGAATAATTAAAGAATATAGGACACAATGTTTAAGAGTAATTAACTCGCTGACTTTTGTAAATGAAATGCACTCCAGCTGATGTCAAGATATACAGAGTGTGAATTAAGTATGTACAATAAATTCAACAGACGATTATTTGAATAATTTTAAGACGAAAAGTTCATATAAACATTGGATGGCAGATGTTTTTGTACTTTTGTAAAAATTTGCTATTTCTATTTATCTTAAATACTCTTTACCCAATTTTGTTGTAATTTGGCAGTATTATTTGTAGTGTTAAGGGACTAATTTAACCCTAACTTGATTAAATTTATAAAGTCCAATAGCGCCCCGAGCATTACCTTAACGAATATTTTTGAAAAAAAAAATGTACGCCACTGACTTTTTTTGTAATTTTTATATATTTTTTTAATTAGGCAACTAAAAATACAACTTTTTTGTTACTTGAATGTTTTTCGTATATTGATTAATTTTTGTAGAAAAAAAATAAAATCCACTTGCATATCTTTGAACCACAGAAGAAACATATGGGGAAAAGTTTCTTTTGGAAATCATAATTTTTTTATATTTTTTTATTAATAGCATGTAACATCTTAATAACATAAAGTAAAATAACACTACCACATTACAACAAAATTGGGTAAAGAGTATTTAAGATATTTAGAAATAGCAATTTTTTACAAAAGCACAAAAACATCTGCCATCCAATGTTTATATGAACTTTTTGTCTCAAAATTATTCCAGTAATCATCTGTTGAATTTATTGCACATACTTCATTAACACCCTGTATGTGTTAATCTCAATAGAGAGTAATAATAATAATTACAATACTAACAACGTGTATATTGTATCAATATTTTATAGTTACGTTAAAATAAGATATTAATATGGTAATTTTGATCACCCCCACGATTATTGTTGGGTTTGTAAAAAATTCTGATAAAAACATTTATTGAAATTAGAGCTCATACCTACGAAAATAAAAATTAAATGCTGTTCGTAGGTAAAAGCATCACTTGAGAACGACTGTATCGATTTGACTAATTTTTTTTAATGTAATAGTCCGAATAAAGTTTTTAGGGAAAGAAAAATTTAAAAATTCGGGAAAAACTGAAAATACTTATCATAAACAAATTTATTGAAATTTGGACAGGACGTCTGTAGGATCAGCTAGTTATTAATAGATGAGTGTTAATAACATGCACAATGTTGGGAACCGTCGACAACATAAACAAAAAATTAACAAATAGTTAAAATGGTAGGAGGGGAGGAACTCAACTATGTTTATGAGTAGAGGGGTCTAAAAAAATATAGATAGTCTGCAATTGGTTGCACTCGGTAAGTAGGAAGGGTTTATTTCCTATATATTCCTATGAAACATTTTCCATAACCAGTTTATTCTAAAAGACAAGAAATCTTCAAAGATGAAAGTGAAAATTATTTCGGGCAATTCTTCTTCAACAAACACAGCACCAAAAAAGTCTATTAAGTTACTGCAGCATTTCCGAAAGGAAGTTGGAGAAAGTGAGTTTGAAGACATTGATGCCAAAGATTTTGACTCGTCGTTTGAAGTGACAGATGGTAACTTGCAAACTTTGCGACCAATTGGAGAACAAATTGCTTCAACCAGCGCCCAATATGATTACATCAGTGAACCGGAAGTTACATCTACCCCTAGAGATGACGAAAATGAAACCAAGGAAGAACTGGAAACATTTCTACAAGAAGTTAAAGCATTTGCAAGAAAAAGCGGAAATTTTGCATCAGCAAAAGTTCACCAAAAGGCAGAACTTGCAAGGAAGGTGCGGAAATATGAAGAAAAGTTAAATGGTTTAAAAAAACTGTTAAAACAATACGAAGAAGTTTTAGCTGTGTGTGACAAAATTTCTAATATCATAGAGTAGTTAAGATATTTTAAGGTTTTAAAACTATATATATACAGTATTTTATAATGCTTAATGTTCGAAAATAATAAACTTAAAATATCTTTTAATATTTTTAGAATAATTTCTTAATTTTTTTAAAACTCGAAACTGGAAACATTTCTGCAAGAAGTTAAAGCATTTGCAAGAAAAAGCGAAATTTCAGCAGAAAGCAGAACTTTCAAAGAAGGTGCGGAAATACGAAGAAAAGTTAAATGGTTTAAAAAAAACTGTTAAAGCAATACGAAGTTTTAGCTGTGTAATGTTCGAAAATAATAAACTTAAATCTTTTAATGTTTTTATAATAAAGTTCTTAATTTTATTGTTATTAAAACTCAAATTTGTGCCATTTAAAGTTGATAAAAAATAATGTTTTATTTTTTGAACAGAATGTATTTAAGTAATATGTACATCATTTCCTACATTTATATATTGTTAAAATTTTAAATAATATTTGACATACGTTAAATGTAAAATTTGTTGCAACTTAAGAAAATGTATTATTTTTTATTTCCAGATTTCTTGTCTTTTGGAATAAATTCGATAAATACACATCTGTGTTTTAATTATAATTTACCCATTGAGAATAAAATATGATTTTAATAGTAAAAAGTTATTTACTTATGAGACGTAAACTGAATTGGTGGACCACAGTCAAACCACAGTTTAAATTCTATTAATGTTTTAATTTAAAAAAATCTGTAATAGTTCACTAAAAATGAATTCCACGATTTTAAACAGTATATCAATACTTTTGATTTTTCTTGAATGGAAACATTATTTTATAGTGAAATTAATAGTTGACTAGGAAATAAATTCTACAATTTTAAACAGTTAAAGTAACTTACGATATTTCTTAATATCCAATTAGATACACTTAGCAAACACATAGTTTAAATTCGATCTGTTTTAATTATATTTTCACTTATTTACACATTGAAAGTTATCCGGAATACAGTGAATGAAACATTATTTTATAGTTAATTTATCTTAAAACAATATTTTCACAAAAACGTTACACGATACTTTTTCAAACTAACTGTTTGGGACTAAAGCCATGCTTCGACCAATTAAACATAATTAACATTTAACATTCTATAAGAAAGCTGCCATTACTTTTAGTTAATTACTGAAACAGTACTACCAGCGACATCTTTTGAATTATTCCAATTGCTATGTAGAAGAACAGATAGGTTGCAATTATTTTTAGTTACAGGGGGCATTCGATTACTTTACAAACTACATAAAGTAGCACATCTTGCTGAATAAAACATCCAAATGCAACAGTTATGAA